ATTACTCTATGAGTTACACTTCGGTCCTAACTCATAAGGCACAATCAGGAAATGAAATTGATCTTTTAATTGCTCCCTATTCAGGTGAAAATCCTTCGGTATCGGTTTCTGAAATAATTAACTCTGATCTTAAATTAGTTGAGTTTGAACTAGACTTCGTGAAGGATAAAGCCATGGTTAAGAAACATTCTTTCAGAAAATGGAAAGACACAAATATGGAAGCGCCCAAATTGGAAATCGAATTAACTCTGGATTTGAGCATCGGATTGATTGATCTACAGCGCAAGCTCTTACTCATTAGTGCAGACATCTGAAACAGTGCTAAAAGATAACATTGATATTTTTGTACCAGGAAGAATCAGGATGAAACAATTGAGAGAATGTTTTCGCCGATGATGAAATGCAGTTTGAAAAACGGAAGAAACAAAAATTCATGAGAAAATATAAGAAGTCCAAGAACCACCAAGATCTTATTTTGCTCAGAAAACAAATTTTTTCATTACAAGGTACTCAATAGAAGAAAAAAGCAATAATTTCAGAAATGAACTTAGTAGACGGAATCAAAATAAAATTAAGTTCAAAGCGCTGAATTATTTGCTAAGAAAAACAATTGACTTTCCAGACTTGAAGCTTGATACGAAAGAACTCGCCGATGCACTAAATGAATTTTTTCAAGAGAAATTTTGGCTAATTGTATCATCTTTTGAGAATACAGATCAAGATTTTTATCGAAATCATGCTCACTCGGACCTAACTCTTGACAAGTTAGAAATGCCTTCCAATGATGTTTTCTGTTAGATGATAAATGAGATATCTTCGGCAACCTCGCCAAATGACATTAGAATTACGGATAGAATTAAAGAATAATCGAACAGCTTGATCAAACCACCATTCTTTTTAATTGTTAACAAAAGCTTGGATGGGATTGTGTTTCCAAATAATCTTAAAGAAGGAATTATCTGAAAGAAGGAATCTGAAATAATTAAATAGAAACAACCTGAATTCCTATCGTCCTGCAACGAATATTAAATTCTCAAAACCAATCGAAAAGATTATTTTAAATAAGCTAATTGAGCATCTAGAGTCGAACGACTTTTTTTATCCGAATCAGTTTGCATACAGGAAAGGACATTCTTCGGAAACAGCGATAATCAAAACGTCAAGTTGAATCTGTCGTTTGAGAAGAGAACTTCCATAATATTGTTTTTTCTCGATTTATCGGCTGCCTTTGATATAATTGATTATAAACTTTAACGATGATACTTAAAAAGCACGTTAGAATAGTATGAGATGCAGCAAAAATGATGCAGTCATGCCTTAGCGGAAGAAAACAATGTGGTAAAGTTAACGGGGCTCGATCAGAACAACTCATAGTTAAAACTGGTATACCACAGGGCTCTTTGTTGGGGCCGACATTATTTAGTGTGTATCTTAATCCCCTTGGAAATCTTATAGAAAGTCTCTCAATGAGTTTTTAAGTATTTGCGGATGATACAGTGATCTACTTCAGAATGGGCAACATCCATAATGATCGTGCAGAGATTGACGAAAAAATGAACAGAATTACTGAATGGTTTGCAAGACATAAATTGAGACTGAATGGAGGTAAACTGATTTTATGCTTCTTAATTTTCAAGGAAATTCAGATGAAAGTGTTTTCAATATTGATGATCAAAATGTTTTTTACCTGAAGAAGCAATTTTCATTAGTATGCAGTGCATCGTTTGGCTGTTTGAAGAAGCTTTATAACATTAGGAAGTATCTGAGCTTTGAGGACAGCTCTAAGCTTGCTCGCATTTTGATCAACAGTCGCCTTGATAACTGGAATTCAACATACAGTATATTTGCCAGAAGACAAAATTTACAGACTTAAGAAGGTGAAAAATGCTTTATTTTTGGCTGCCATAAAGCCTCGTCAATCAGGCTATTTCTACAAGATCTTCACTGGCTACCACTCTTGTAAATAGATTACAAAATCCTACTGTTCGTTCATAAAGCAATATTTAATCCACGTCTGGTGCTAAAAATCCTAATGTTCGTTCATAAAGCAATATACAATCCACGTCTGGTGCTAATTTTCCAACCCGTCCGTAAGGCTGGAAAACAGCCTGAAATGCGCTGAGAAACACTGTTCTTCAAATCCTAAACTGCGCGTCGATCTTTTGCGTTCTACGGACCATGCTGTTGGAATCGTTTACCACTTGACTGAAAAATACACCCAATAATTTTGAAAAATTTGAAAACTTGGCTGTTCAGCAAACAGTTTTGTCTAAATTAAAACAACAGTGGCTTTCTGCCCTGTTGGGGCTTAACTTGAGGAAGCTTAACGTATTCTTTTAAGGTGTTTCTGCTATGAGCTGTAGTGACGTACCCATTCGAGGTTCAATTTCATCTGCTCATAGAAGAAGGATTTTTCGGAAATTAAAGATTGAAGTTGTTTGAGAAACTGACAAGGAAACAATTAATTTCAGATATCTATATCATGCTTTCAAGGAAAGATGCAATAATTGAGAATCTGCGAACGAAAAATTGTATAGGAAGAGAAAGTTTCACACCATACAGAGCATGAGTGGCCCCTGAGTTGAAAACATCTTTTCTGCAAGCTGTTGTAAGTGATTCAATTGTGAAGGGCTGTTATTTGAAAGATACAAGTGTGATGTCCTGTCCCGGAGCTGGTCTTAACCTTTTAGCCAGTCAGAATATTATGATTGACCTGAAAAGCAAAAAATGTTGAAAGAGTTGCAATAAAGGGAGGAACAAATGATCTAGTTGAGCGGGATAGCTCTGATGGGAGTTTGTATGATAAAGAAGAGAAAATGAAGAAACTGGTAACATTATATAAGAATGAACACTTCTAAGTTGTTGTGGTGAAAATAAATAGACGGTCTGGAAAAAAAGACGTAAAAGCGTTGAACAAAATGTACAAAAAACTCGCAAGAGAGCTTGAAATTGCCTGAAGTTTGGAATGAGTTTCTTATCCCCGGATGGTTTGCACGCGAACCGGAAAAAAGTACTCGCATTGAGCAAAGATCATTATTTGGCTCCTAAGCTCCTCTGCTAATGTACCCATTCGAGGGTCGACTTGCAGATGAGTGAAAGATCTCTCATGTTTTTAACTGGCTCGAGTCTTTTATTGTGATGGTTATACGATCAAGTGCAATGTAAGAAAGAAACGATTGGAAGCAACGCGAACCCACAAAGTATGAGAAACAACCGACGAAACCACCAAAATAGAAACTCGAAAACGTCTCAACTAACACCTCTGAGAACAATAAGGTGTCTAAATAAAGAATGATGATGATGATGATGATGGTAATGGTGATGGTGATGGTGATGATGATGGTGATGATGATGATGGTGATGGTGATGATGATGGTGATGATGATGATGATGATGATGATGATGATGATGATGATGATGATGAACTAAAAACTGTGTGTGTAAATCAATAAGAGAAGAGGGTCTGAAAAAGATCCTTGATGTACACGTACACCTGTCGTGATCGGTAGCCAAACACATGATTTTTTCACACAAGCAAATACCTGCTAGATATGTTTTCAAACGATCTGTGGCAATTTTCAACTTTTTCTATCGCGAACTTGACATACAGCTTATACCTCGAAAAAACGCCAGGCTGACATAGTGAAAAAGTGAATTGGTCCGGGGTCAAAGGCGTCGTAACTGATTTGACGACACAGACATGGGCGCTAATTCACGAAAATTTGTCAGTTTTTATAGACAACATAAACTAGCTCCTCCAGCAAGTGTTATAGAAAACTGACTGCTTCAATCCATGCACAAAATTCTCATAAGCACTTATTTGGACTCTAAAAACTGACAAATATTCTTGATTAGCGCCCATGTCTATGTCAAATCAGTTCCGATCATTTTTTGACCCCGGAGCAAGTCACTTTTTCACCCAGTCAGTATGTCGCTTTTCCGCAGGCTAAAGAGTAAGCCAATTTAGCATTGTCCCATAGAACCAATTTGAGCCCATAGATTCACTTTTTTTATGTTGTTTGCGAGGATGTTTTCATATCATGAACACTTCTGAAACTTAGGATATACTGACTATTTTACACCTTCGCAGCAAGATTTCGCTGATTTTAACCAAGTTAAATCTTTTTAATAGTTTCACCTAGCATGTGTTAAATTTTCAACCCTATATCTTTTGTTTGCAAAAGAAAAAGACAAAAACGCCAAGACAAAATTTCATTCCTTTACTCGTTGAAATCAAGTGTCTACTTATTTATTTTAGCGCAGTGTACCAGCATGTTTTTGTTGTTATGTGAAACTTGGTATGCGAACACTCCGATGATTATCGCACTGTCGCAATGATTAAGATAAAAATGAGTTTGAAAAATATGTGTTCAAATTTTGAGAAGACTGCGGTCATCACTCACAGCATAAATTAATTTGGGTGACAGAAAATCAACTCATTAGTTAAATTTGAAAGAAGTCAGCGCAGAAATCGGATTAAAATAACATCCTCCCCCCTAAATAGACTAAGTTGCGGTCATCACTCACAGCATAAATTAATTTGGGTGACAGAAAATCAACTCATTAGTTAAATTTGAAAGAAGTCAGCGCAGAAATCGGATTAAAATAACATCCTCCCCCCTAAATAGACTAAGTTGAGATCTAGTTGTTTATTTGGATCAAAATTGCTTAGCGATGTGTGTTAAGTTCTCAAGCCTGATAGCACCAGACTGGCAATAAATTAGAATGATTTAGATCTTTCGAAGTTATTATCATTTACCCACCAGTGAAAGATTTTTTATTTATTCAAGAACAACAACAATAAGAGAGATCTGGGATTTAGTTGAAGTTTTTGTACGACCTAGCAAGTTCAGCGTTGTTTTCTTGGGGCTGGGATATTCTATTTTAGTTACATCACCCTGAGATATAGCAATTACGGGTCATTGGATTGCGCTCAATTTTTTATTTAATTTCAAGGAGTATGTTTCTCTCCAATTTTAAATACGTGTTATTTTCTGTAGGAGCAGAAAGTTGAAGAAGAGCAGAGATTGAGTCAAGTTTGTCCCGAGTCAGACCTGGATCAGATAATCGCACAGTTAGAGTGAGTTTTCAAGGTTTTTAAATACCTTTTTGCATTTAATTTCAACATTCCTGATAGTTTGTCAGCCAACTGAACTTTAATTTCAACAAGTCTACTTTCTGTCTTTTAATCTTACTCGGTTTGTGTCTGAATTTTAATCTTCATCACGTACTTTTAAATCACTTTCTATCACATTTCCATTGTTCACTAATGGAGGGGTCCCAGTGTCATCCGCCTCGTCAAGGCGGGCCCGGCTACGGCGAAATGGATAACATCCCCGTCCCCAACTATTGGTCCTGTATTGAATAGGGCCGGTGGCTAAAAACGCATCTCAACGTTTAATTTCAACAAGCAATTGAAAGTCGACATGCCTGGATGAATACATCAACAATTATTCAACATTCATTCCCTGAGATAGATTCCAAGATATCTTGCTTTAGAACTTATTGACAATTAAACTTCTTTCGGATCTACTTAACAATTACACCTCCCACTTTCAAGAAAGGGGGGTAATTGTTAAGTAGGTTAAGTTAGTCGATTTTTCGACCAATCAGAATGCAGCAAAATTTGAAGTTTGAATACAACGCTCTAGTGCTAGCTTACTGCTTTTAAATGAAGGGGTGACATATCTTTTTTAGATACCATAGGGAAGGCGATTGTTAATTAGATCCCTGTCGTTACTGTTATCCCATTGAAAAAAATTTCAGTTTGTTGATTTTAAAACGTATTCGTTGAAATTGAAACTTTTTTGTTGGAATTGAATTTTAGGATTGTTGAAATAAAAGGCATGAAGTAGACACGTTGAAAATTAAATTCTGTGTCAATGAACTTACTGAAGGCTTTTTACAAGTCCTGATGTTTTTTCCGTTTTTCATTTTTTTTTTCATAAAAGTCATTGATTTTTCATTGAATTTTAGTAATTTGATTTTTGATCTTTTCAATTTCGATTCAAATTAATTTGTTAAAAGAAAATTAAATTATGCTCTCGAGTAAAGAAAGTTGAAATTGCGCGAAAAAAATTCACGAATGACTTTAAGGTTCGAAAGTTGATTTCAAATTTTGGATTTTTCAGCGAAAAATCAACTATTGATCGGATTTTAATTGGGCTAGCTTTAAGAAATAATTCGTTCATTATAAATTTTTTGAGACCTAGTAAGTTCAACTTAATATTTTGTGTTATTGGAAATTTGAAGGTTTCAAATCGTTTTTTTTTTCGAGTTTTTAATCAGTTAGGCTAATTGGGAGCAAATGCGTTCTGTAAAGGAAGAATGCGTTCTGTTTTCAGTTTTGTTCGAATCAGGACTTAAGGTGGCTTCAATATGATATAAGAATCACTTAGATGATTTTCGTGGCACAGAATTTCCTTTGCAAAGAAAGTAAAAAAACAAAAACAGTTCCCCCCTTTTTAACTCTAAATAACTTAACACCCTACAATTTCACTCCCTACTTTTTGTTGCCTTAGAAATTTAACATCGCTACATTTTAAAACAATTTCTATGACTTAACACCGGTTTAATCCAAAATGAAAAGAAAACTTACTTCAAATGGGATTTCGGTAACCATCAAAGAATTAAACGAGAGAAATTTTTGCCATTTAAAGCCAGACAAATTCGCTCTACTTAATTCGCGTAAGTTTTGAACAGAAATGACCTTGCAAATGATTTCAATGAAACGTTTCAAACCAAAATGAAATGACTTGCCAATATTTTCAATGAATCATTCCAAAATTAACCAAAAACAAGCAATATTTCAATGAACTTCAAAAGCCCGCAAATAATTAGACGTCCTTTGACAAATATGGCCTAATTTTCTAGACATTTTCAGCCGGTATAGAAATTTTAAAAAGGTTTAACCAATGCCAAAAGCCTAAAAATCAATATTTTTTAGAATCATTCTCGAACTTAAACTTATGACCTGATCGCTTTGTCAGCTTTTTTTGAACTTTTGGCACATAAACGCAAAGCTAAAGGGTTTGCCAGCCCGTAGTCCCAGCCTAGCATCCCGAAAATTAGGGCGATTGTCCTGGGATTAAATTGCTAAGGCACGAGTCATGTTCTTGCGTTTAGTTACGTTTCCGTTTGTTTGCGTTTGCTTATCACTTGAGTAAAGTATAAAGTGACTGTCAGAATTTAATTTTTGTCAGAATTTTTACGGCAAATTGTTATGAATTAGCACAAGCAGCTTTTTTTAGTAATCGTAATGGTTAAGCGAAAAGTCTAATTGAAAATAAATTACAAATTTGTTGATAAGAGTCTTAAGTAAATTAGGAAGCCTCCTTTTAGCATGTATAACTAAGATAAACCAAGTTTTTCATTGTGGTGCGTGCGTTAATTGCAGGATTAACTTTGTTGTGATAAGAGTTAAGATAAGGAATTCATACAGCATTAATTTTAATAGTGATGTGTTAAACTGGAAATAAGGGTTATATTGTTGTCGATTTAAATTGTTTAGTAGTGAAATGACTAAGTGTTAAAATTTACGGTGTTAAATTGTATGTCATTAAATTGTAGGACACCACTAAAACACCCGAGAACAAAGTTTTTTTTTCGTTGACGAAACCAAAGGTAAGTTTTATGAAAAATATTCAAAATATTTTTGAATTTCAAAGAGGTTATGACGATGTTGTTTTTTTTTCTGAGTTTCGCTATAGAAAAAAGAACCATTATTAAGAATAAGTATTTTATAGTTTCCTTTTTGTTCAAGCGTTTCCAAATGTCTATGGCTAAGTTTTTCGCAATTTCAAGACTTAGCTATAAAATGTTGTAGAAACAGCATGAGCAAGTGACGGCATTCCTTGTTCAGTACAATAGTCCAGTATGGGTAGAACGTAGACGAGAATAAAAATGTCTGTGGGGAAATCGTTAAATTACTTGCTGAAAGTTTCGAAATAGTTGACTTTTAAAGAAGTGTCGTCAACATTTTTTTTCTTTGCTCGAAATATTTGAAATGCCTGACCATATTGCAAGAATTTGTTGGGCTCTTATTAGCCAATCAGATTCAGCCACATTGGTTTCAATTCAAAATCACTTCGAATTCATTTGCTCAAAGGAAGGCAAATTACGCTTTTCCATTAAGAAAGCGGAAATACAGTGTTAATTTATGTTATCCTGAGATAAACGAAAAACATTGGAACACAGAACAGAAGTTGTATAAAACTTTACAAGAATTGTTATTGTGCAATTTATTTTGCGATATTCAGAAACAAATTGTTTTAACAAAGCGTTTTAAATTTGGATTTAAGCAAAGATGTTAAGTTTTATTTAGTAAAAATGATATTTGTTGGCCATCAAGATTTGTGGAGACTTCAGGAACTTTGTAGGCTTCTTTAAGTATTTTTTCTTCATCAATAAGTTGATAGTTTTCGCGAATTCTTGATGAACTTAAAAAAGTCAAAAGGAATCTTTTTTGGTGGAATTTTTTGGTTCCGAATTTCTCAAAAGAAATTGCCTCATAATAGCTCCGGTAAAACTCAAAGCCACTTTTGTTCCCTTCTTTTTTTTTGCTAATCTCTTCCCAATTTGAGAAAAAGTGTGTGAAGTTTCAAAAATTGTTCGTTTTGTCCGTCTAAATCAGCACTATAGTGCGAAAAGCGTGAATGACTTATAGCTCTCACCAGCGGAATGATCAAATTACTTTTTGTACCAATTTTTTATTGTTGGGCTAGCCTAGTTTTATTTAAAAAATTATTGATTATCGAATATTCTTGAATGTAGAGCGCTTCAACGTTGTATATATTTTTCTGTTTTACTTAAATTCATTGACTGTTTGTTGGCTATGTTTTTCTTGGTTTTTCTAGAAGTGAGGAGGCAGTGTTGCTGGGTGAGTTGACTGAGTTGGAGAGCGAGAAGAGGGGGCTGGAGGAGACCAGCCGACAGTTGGACTCCGAGGAGAAAAAGATGTTACACGAAGAGGCAGAGTACGTTTCAATCATATGTTTATAAGTAATGGATATTGATTCGGGCAAAGAATCTAAAGTGAAATAAACTAAAAATTGTTTGTTTTGACATCGGAAACCAATGCTTAATGCATTTCAACTTTCGTCAACAGATTGCCAAAAATCTAATCAACCTCAAAAGCGTTTTTTTTTCAGTCTGATAACAGCGTTGAAAGTCAATTATAATGCCAAAAATTTCGCACTAACTATATATAGAGCCGAAACTATTATATTCAGCTCTTAGGACGTAGCATTTTTGAGATGTTAAATATTTTTTGAAAGCTAATAAAAACAAATTTGATGTTAAATTTTGAATCTTCTAAGTTATTCGGCCTAAATCTGGAAATCTCAAATAAAACAGAAATGAAAAGGCTCGACAATACTTACTCAAAGTTAAATTCGAAATTTCAGTAATAAGTAATGCAGCAGTAGCGGATTTATGGGGGGGGGGGGGGGGGGGGGTCAATCAAGTTTCAACTCAACATAACTGAAATCTGAGATGGGCTGTTTAACAGAAAAGAGCTTTCGTATCAAATAGATAAATAATGGGTAACTTTTTGTTGCTGTTAACGGAACCGCTGTTTGATTCAAAACTGTTCAAAGAAGAAATCCCAATTGAAAAACATTTCAGTTTTCTTGGAGACGGATTACTTTTCAGAGATATCATTAATGGGAAGTTAATCTAAATTCCTAAGTTTGAATTCATTCTGTTAAAACTTCTGGCTATTTGTACTGGGTGCCGGACATCAAGCCGACGGGACTTCAAGCCGAATCGTTAAATTAGGGACTTCAAGCCAAAAATTTTCTCATTAAGTAATGAAATAAGGTTAATTTGAAAACTTTTTTTAAGAATTTCTCAATTTCATGATCTTTAATCGGTAATTATTAGCGTTTTCACGAAATTGAAACCTCCAAATGAAGTTAAGGAAAGTTGAAAAATAAAACACGGTTGAAGGTAATTTTCTTGTTTATAATTTATGCATTTCAAAAAACGGCTGATATTATTAACTAATGCCAATCCTAAGTGATTCATTGTCATAAATAACGCTTTTTATGGACTGAACTAGCCTAAGATTTTGAAAAGAAACGTTTTACAGATGAAAAATTAATGATTTGAGGCGCTTGTAAAGTTTAATTTTCGGCCTGAAGTCTCTTCGGCTTGAAGTCCCGTCGGCTTGTTGTCCTAGGGTCTAGGACAACAAGCCGACGGGACTTCAAGCCGAAGGGACTTGAAGCCGAAATTAAAACTTTACAAGCACCCCAAAACGCTATTTTATCATCTGTAAAATGTTGCTTTTCTAAAATTTTGACACGTTTAGTCTATAAAAAGCTTTATTCATGACAGTGCACTGAATTATTCGGCTTGAAGTCCCTAATTTTACAATTCGGCTTGAAGTCCCGTCGGCTTGATGTCCGGCACCCGTTGTCCTAGACCCATTTCTGCAACTGCAAATTTAAACAATTATTTTGGCACCAAAACGTCTGAATTGCAAATTTTCTCGCTCAAAATCTTAAAGTTTTACTTAAGATTGTAAACGATAGCTGTTTAATTTTTGATTGCCGCACTTAATATGTTGAAATTTATTCAAATTTTCGGCACTGTTGAACAAAGTTTTCATTTTCGGCACTGTTGAACAAAGTTTTCATTTTCGGCACTGTTGAACAAAGTTTTCATTTTCGGCACTGTTGAACAAAGTTTTCATTTTCGGCACTGTTGAACAAAGTTTTCATTTTCGGCACTGTTGTACTGCCCCGTACTAATTTTTCACTGCTACTAAGACGATTTACACATGCGAACACATTTTTTTCCAACCTAACTTGAATAAATCAGTTTCAGTATCGGTGTACTGCTGTATATGCCGACTTTCGATTAAATGACGACTTTCGAATAAATAAAGCATTTGTGCTCGCTGTGGATTTTTTCTTTAGTCAAATTTTGGCTGAAGTCGTTTCTGACGTTTGTTATCTAAAATATTTTTCATCAGCTCATAGTTAATAGGTATTGCACCTTTTTTTGCCTTGGCTCCACGTCCTTTCTTTCTTCTTGGGCCTTGCCTTCCTGAGGGAGATCCATGTCATCCATTTTGACGAAGCCGGTCCCACATTGAGACCCCTCCAGCCATGACCGAAATGGGATTCGAACGCACGACCTTTGTGTTGAAGGCTGCTCATTTCACTCACGTGGCCTTGGTCGGTCAAGTTTGACCTGTGATCATTTTCGATAATTTATGTTGGTTTAAAAACGCCCAATTTGGGATAACTAACGCGAGGTGTATTTCGTTCTTTAGATGCGTAAGTAGCGAATTTGAAATTGTTCTAAGTTGAATCGAGGCAAGCCACCTGGTTTTTTTTAAAATTTACTAGACGCTATGTATGTCATTCTGTATTTCAAATAACGTGCGGGAAAAGACTTTCAAAGAAAGAAAAGATTTTCAAAAAAGACCCTGGTACTCAAAGCTTAGGTTCACGAAAATTTTAACGTTTTTCCATGTAAAATTATTTGAAAACGGCAACAAACATATTTCTTAAACAAAAAATTTTATGAAATTAACAAATTTTTGAATTTTGAGTTATTTAATTGATATTTCATTGCCCAGGGCATGCGAAAATATGCAATACAAAACAAAAAGACTTTGAAATACGCAACTTGAAAAAATGAAGTTAGAAATAGCGCTTGAAATATTGATTCAAAAGTGGATTTTTTTTGCAATAGAAAAAGTTTGTTTAAGATAAAAAAACCTGGTGAGTACTCTTATTTAGGTCTTGCTGTTTTTTTCAGGAAAAAATTTCTTAAAATTTGTTCATGCTCAATTTCGCGATTTGACTTGTGATTTCTTTTCAAGTTCAGTGCATTTCCATTGTTAAAAGGAAGGCAAACTCCACTATCAAACAGCAAACGTGTAAAGGTCACAAAAAACGTGATCGACTTCTAATTTCGAAAATGGAAATTCTTTATCTGATTTCCCGGCCGAATAAATTTTTTGCCTATTGATCCAGTTATCTGAAATTGATATGTTTTTAACAAAATAGTGACCATCATAAATTAATCAACAAACTCACAAAGCTCTAAGGTCATCTGTTTTTTCTTCGAAATTCAAAAGGTTTTTGAAAAAACAACTGTTTCTTTTTCAGTTTCTTTGCTTTCATTACTCTTTTCCAACTGTCAGTTGGCTATGTTACATTACTAAGAGTAATGAATATAGTGTAGACTCTTTTATAGGTCTTTGTGATGTTTTTCAGGAAAAAGTCCTAAATATTGTTCACGCTGAACTTTGATGTTTCTCGGTTTGATGTGGGGTTTCTTTTTTAAGTTCCCTAGTGCAGTTAATTTCTTTTGTTGAGAGAGAGAGTCAAACTCCATTATCGAACAAGAATAGGTCTTAAAAACTTGATCGACTTTTAGTCTCGAAAAATTAAATTAAATTATCTATTGATCCATTTTTTTTAATTTGGGTTAGTTTTATCATAAAAGTGTCAATCATAAATTTTTCTATTAAATATTTAGGGTCATCTTTTTTTGAAATTCGAAAGGTGAAATTTTTTCAAAAAGCAAGTCTTTTTTTTGGTTACGTTAAGTCGTATTTCTGGTTACTTGCATTCATTGACTTTTTTCCAACTGCCTTTTGGCCATGTTTTACGTAGCTCCCGGTCCAACTCCCACCGTTCACCATTGGGTGGTTTTCCGTGGAGGATAGGAATGTCATCCATTTTGCCGCAGCGGGTTCCTTTTAGGATGCGGATGACGCTGTGACCCCTGGAACAGTGACCGAAACGTGTTTCGAACCCCACGACTTTTGTGTTAAAGGCCGCGCGTCTTGATCACGCGGCCACTGCTGCTCACTTTTCACGTCTTTAAGTTCAGTTCTTTACCTTTGTTAAAAGGAAGTCAAATTCCACTATCGAACAGCAAACGTGTAAAGGTCACAAAAAACGTGATCGACTTCTAATTTCGAAAATGGAAATTAATTATCTGATTTCCCTGCCGAACAAAATTTTTGCCAATTGATCCAGTTTTCTGAAATTGATATATTTTTAACTAAATAGTGCCCATCATAAATTAATCAACAAACTCAAAAAGCTCGAAGGTCATCTGTTTTTACTTCGAAATTCAAAAGATTTTTGAAGAAACAACTGTTTTTTTTTCAGTTTCTTTGCTTTCAAAACTCTTTTCCAACTGTCAGTTGGCTATGTTACATTTCTAAGAGTAATGAGTATAGTGTAGACTCTTATATAGGTCTTTGTCATGTTTTTTCAGGAAAAAGTCCTAAATATTGTTCACGCTGAACTTTGATGTTTCTCGGTTTGATGTGGGGTTTCTTTTTTAATTTCCCTAGTGCAGTTCATTTCTTTTGTGAAAGGGTCAAACTCCATTATCGAACAAGAAAAGGTCTTAAAAAGGTGATCGACTTCTATTCTCGAAAATGAAATTTAGTTATCTTATCTATTGATCCATTATTTAAATTGGGTTAGTTTTATCATAAAATTTCAATCATAACTTGTTCTATTAAATCTTCAAGGTCTATCAGTTTTTTTGAATTTCGAAAGGTGAAATTTGTTCAAAAAGCAACTCTTTTTTTTTTCTGGTTACTTTTAGTTGTATTTCTGGTAACTTGCGTTCATTGACTCTTTTCCAACTGCCTCTTGGCCATGTTTTTAGTAGCTCTCGGCCCAACTCGCACCGCTCACCCTTGGGCGGTTTTCCGTGGAGGAGAGGAATGTCATCCATTTTGCCGCAGCGGGTTCCTTTTAGGAGGCGGATAACACTGTGACACCTGCAACAAAGACCGAAGCGTGTTTCGAACGCCACGACTTTTGAGTTAAAGGCCGCGCGTCGTGATCACGCTGCCACTGCTGCTCACTTTTGATGTCTTTTAAGTTCAGTTCTTTTCCTTTGTTAAAGGAAGACAAACTTCACTATCGAATGCCATGCTTTGCTTGTGTTTGCGAAATGCAGCTTGGCCTTTGAGTGGAACTCATCTGACTTTATCATTCTTTTTTTTGCAATAGTTGCTCCACTTTGAAAGCCGCTAGAACAAGTAAAGCGCATTTATCCCCACGGGAAATGTTTAACATCTGAACTGAGCAGCGCTTAAACGGGGAACCGCTGTTGTATACCTAAAAAAGAGCTACTTACGCTAGTCATTGTGGTCCTCCAACCGCCGAACTTCGACTGAGAGTTGGAGACCTTAGCGACTTCACCGCCGCTCCTCCAAAGTGATGAGTATTGATTGTATTTAGGTTGAGCATCGAAAACAATGAGCTGGAGCAGGAAATTTATGAACTGGAAACATCGTTGAGAAGCGTGACCGAACAGCTCAAATTCTCTGAAGACCATTTCAATGACTTGAAGAAAACTAACGTGTTTAATTTAGTGTTCAACATATGGCACCACGACCATAAGTTTGGAACGATAAATGGATTCAGACTGGGCAAACTGAACAATGACACTCAGGTGAATTGCGACTTGTTTTTTTTTCAACGAAAAATGAAAAGTTTCTTGATCATAGTCTTATTGTCTTATTTATTTACCTTTTGTGACTCAGTGCTAGATATTCTTCAGTAGATTGTACGTACCATGGGGGGGGGGGTGTTTATTAATTAGATCCACTGGAAAAAAGCAATTGTATATATGGTTTCCTCCATTCCAGTAAAGTTTTTAAAGTGGTCTGTTGATGGTGTATTAAAAGCTTTGAAATACGCAATGGAACTACACTCTATTGTCAGTGTGAATATCTGACAATTTTAAGCAGCTCCAATACTCAACTGAAGTCTCCATCCAGTCATTCTATGCTAACTGGCTCCTAAAGCTTCGGACACTATAAAACTATTAAGAATTCTCCAGGAACTGCGCTGCACAAATTTTCGAATTTCAATTTTTTTTTTCATAAACTGATCATGATGAGTCGTGTAAAGGGTCTTAACTTAGAGCTAATGTGGTTCAGGTTCAAAGTTTTAAATTTTACGGGACCATCGTTGAATGTGCGGACTGGTTTTGATTTAGGCGGGGGGAGGGGCTAGCAGTGGGAGGGTGGAATGGAGTGAGATCAATATGGCACTGGGCCAGTCATGTTTGCTTCTTCACTGTCTCATTACGAAACTCAACTTCCAGCCAAACATATACACGCAAGTTTTGATTACACATTAAATGTATTGCACGATCGATTCCCTATGAAGGAGCTTAAAAGCACCGCTTGAAACGTTTGTGGTAGTGTCAATTTAACTTCAAGTTACTTGTGAAATTAATGTTTGGCGCTTAAAATCAGACGGGAAATCCTTTAGTCTCCGTTCTCATTCGGTGCTTCAACAAAGTATGATTATGGAAGTATGCACAAATTTTCATGGTGAAACGCATTTTAGAACCGAAGTGTTGACCGAAGTTTATTATTCTGTTCTTTAGACAAGCGGAGCGTAGTGTGATACTACAAGGCCACTTTTTGTTCAAACCCAAGTCGCTATTATTGGTGCTACTTAAGTGTCAACTTTTTTTTCAGGTTAGTGGGATTTAAAGACCGGCTACTCCCCTTGTGCCACATATTCTGCTAGTGTCTTCTTTACTTACCCGAAGACCTTTTAAAATTTCAACAGGGAGAAATTTTCACCCATTTTGTGGATTTTTTGATAATTAACTGTGTTGTTTTTGGAACTTTTTGGTTTCCTCTACTACGGTGCCAAGTCTGAGAATAAGGGTTCAATCGAAGAACAAGTTGTAGAGGTATCCCCTGCAAAAACGGATTTTCGCAATTGTTGTAAGCAATCAGGTATTGTCTTTAAAATTGCCTATTATTTGACCTCTTCATCGCTTGAATCGTTTGTGGTAGTGTCAATTTAACTTCAAGTTACTTGTGAAATTAAAGTTTGGCGCTTAAAATCAGACGGGAAATCCTTAAGTCTCCGTTCTCAAAAGTTACTAGGTTCAATCGAAAGGTTATGCGCTGAAGCTGCTTCATTAAGCGTCGATGAACGTAGTGTCTTGATGATTTTTTTTGCTTTTTTTAGGAAAAGTTTTAAAATTTGTTAGGCTGAAATTAATTTCTTTCGCGGTTTGACATTTGATTTCTATTTCTAGTTCATTTCTCCTGCTAAAAGGAGGAGAAACTCTATAATCCAGTAGCCTAATTGTAAAAGTACGATAAACGTTTAGTTATCAAGTATTACAGCGAAATAAAAAATTTTACCTATTAATCCAGTTTTCTCATATTGGGTTAATTTTTATCAAAAAAGTTTCAATCATAAATTAATCTAAAAATCCAATGAGCTCAAAGGCCATTTATCTTTTTTTCTTCGAAATTCGAAAGTTTCAAAAAAAAACAAGTCGATATTTTTTTTCTGTTTACTTGCGTTCCTGACTCTTTTCTAACTGTCTGTTGGCTATGTATGGTAGCTGTAGTTAGTAATTTTCCAAACAATCATGGCGCAGGGGCAAGAACGTGAGACTCCTAATCTGCTGCTAGAGGTTTGATTCCGGCAAGGTTTTCGAGGCTGTCCGTTCTTTTCTTATTTCAACTTGTTTTTGACTTTTAAGAGCTACTTGTTAACGGTTTCTCGCTTGTTTTGCGAACTGCAGCTTCGCCTCTGTGGTAGAACGTTTTGGCGGCAGTAAGGTCGTATGCTTAGCTACGGATTGTTGCTTAAAGTTTCAGAAGCGGACACAATGTTCCTTATTCGCGAAGTAAACAAAGCTCGTGACCATTTTAAAGTTAATTCTGAAAAGAAATTCGTGATACCTGAACATGCGTAATAAATAACACGCACGATTCTTAAGATCCTCCTTGCCTTCAATAGACGAATCAAAAGTAAGATATCAGTGATATGATAATTGTCATGAAATTTTGAAAATGTTCATTTGAAGTTACTCGAACCAGGCTTTTTGATTTACCTGTTTTTTTTTCTTCAATTTAGGCTCGTTCCTTGTGGCGCTCGATCCTATATTGAGGCGGTGCATCCCTCTGGCGCGAATGGGGGAGGGGCAGTGGTGAGGGAGAGATTTGCACTGTACAGTGAAGGGGGCAACAAATTCTTCTACGACAGTAGCATAGACAGTGGTATGAAGGCATTCCTCAATGTGTTAGACCAGTTTAGGGCTACACTCGAACAGAAGAATTCAGGTTAGTAATAAGATAATTACAGACTGAATATAGGCTTTGACCCCTGACCTCTCAAAACATCCCCATTCAGCCATGTTTTACGTTCAGATTTTTGTCGATAGTACACAATTCGAGGGGTAGATCGATCCAAAGTTGTCCAAAAACGTTAAATTAAAAGAGATCTCACAAAGCCAATTTTGGGTTGAATATTTAGTTGAAGTTTTCAAAAGTTTTAAAAGCATGAAAGCCCATATTCGCAAAAATCATTGTAGTAAGTGAAATTTGAAAAAATGAACTGCCGTTTTTCGAAAGTTTACTAGTTCATGTTGAATTTATTAACTCCATGTTACTTATGTTGAAAGAGTTCCGACTGCCTTATCCGATGCGAGGAGAGATTATCTACGAGAAACAAGGATCGGAAAACGGCTATTCCGTCTGTCCCGGCAAGACATCCTCTGAAATGTGGACCAAGGCCTGCAGAATGATGCTGACGAACCTGAAGTGGGGAATAGTTGGAGTCTGTACCATTAGCCCCCACCCATCTGACTGGTTGCAGCCTCAAGGTCAGCCAGGCATGGATGTCCCCAGTAGAGGCAGAGGATCCGCTGGATCTAGTCACAAACCACCGATGAGTCAGAATTTGTATGTGAACCCTAACAATGGAGGACGCAGCAATATGGGGGCGCGCAATGGTCAAAGAAACTGAAAAGTCATACTACTATTTCCAATATATAAATCTTAGCTTTTATATAATTCATAGTTTGAACGGAACCCATTGTAATACTTTTAAGGCTCTTACTATTGTTTCTATTCCGAGTGATTACACCGCAATCTACAGTTTTTCGCATATCACTTTTAATCAATCGTAATTTGTGTGTTCCGTTGAAATGTCTCAATAATTTTATGAGACTTGTAATGTTCTCAAAATCTAAGGGTTATTATTTGGAAAGTAGTTACCGTTCTATTTAAATCATCAATTTAGATTTAGTATTTGTTTTTGTCAAGAAATAGGTTTAAAACTAGGTTTTAGCTTCAGAGTTGCAACCGCATGTATTTTAAAAACCCCATTTCTAGAATTTTTTGCATGTCACTTACAACTGAAATGGTTGATTTTTCCATTCTTCTTATCACACCTGAATTTTAGCCAGCGTGCGATCGTTAGTGTAATAGTACGAGCTTTTTTTTCTAACGTAACTCGCAATCTAAGTGTTCATTGAAAGTCTTCACTTGTATGGAAACTTCACTGTAGCATTGGAAATTCACTGCTTTATTTGCGGGTAGTGTTTGTTTGTTTGAGCGTCCGTGGCTGAGTGGTTTTTGCGTGAGACTCATAGATTGTAAGTCGCAGTAGGCTGTAGGTTCGAATCCGAGGCGTAACCGATTTTTTAAACTAATTTGAGGCTTATTTCTACTTTTTTATTGCACTTTACAGAGCTGCTTTTTGTCGTGTTCTGGCTAGTCTTTGCGAAGCGTAACACATTTTTTTAAACTCTTGCGTGAAGTTTTCAACATTTTAAGTCTATAGCACAGACCCTTCATAAAAAAAATTAAAACAATTTTTCAGCTTGTTTCGCAAGAGTAATGTTGCTCAAAACTTTCTGAACATTTTAAAACAATTATTGTATAAAACTTCGGGTGACTTTTCGTAAAAATGCGAAAACTTATCAAAAGTTTCTAAGTTTGTCTTTTAAACAATTTTGCTGAAAAATCCAGTAACCATATGATGTTAGGTCATAGAATCTATAAAGAAGGGAAACGAATTGATGAATTTTTGCTCATTTATTTAACTAAGATTTGATTTCATTCAGCAGCTAAAAAATTCTGAATGTTTCAAAGCCGTCTAATTTACTTTGTGAAAAGGCTGCTAAAAAAGTGATCGCAATTGGACATCTCACTGTTTACGCATGCCAGCCGTAATGTAGTATTACAAATACTTTTTTCCTAACCTAAAACGCAAAAAAGTGCTCATTTGGTGACATTTTTGGTTCAATTTCATCATGTAAAGCTTATTAAAGCGAAAAGGAATTGATGGCGTATGTTGCTGCTTCATTTTTCGCTGGTATTAGGTCATGTTTGAACAAAAAACATTAATTTTGAAAATGTTTGTGATTTGTTTTTCTTTTTTTGCTAACCTTAGGAAAACTTTTACTTTTTTTACAGAAACTTCAGTTTTTCTTAAAAACTAATAGCAATTTTTTTAAAAAAATTGTACCATTGCAAAATTTTTGCTTGTAACCTTTCAGGTTGGCCTATTGGTCTTGTGTTTTCTTTTTTTTCCAGATATGAGATCTCAAATCTGAGAAGAAGGTTTTAATTGAAACAATTTATGAGGATCTACCTGTTTCAAGCGGATATTCCCCAAATTTGTTAGAACATAAATTATGGCCTCAAACAGGCCCATTCTTTGACATTTTTGTTAATCATCAAAAGTTTTACTTTTCTCAAAAACTACTCTGTCAAATTGGAGGTAATGGGTTCAACTGAAAGAACAAATCATGTATGCAAATCTTACTGTGCCCTGAGTTTTGAAAAAAAAATGGCCTTAGAAAGTGTCCAATTTTTGAAAATTTGCCAATTTTTTGCACAGTCATACTGCTGATTCTGAAACTGATATTTCAATAAGACTAACATGGTGCTGAGATTTTTATTGCATAATCGGTTTAACCCTTTTTTTGTAGAAAAGTTGATATAGACTTCGAAAAGTTTCCTTTATAAATTCTTACAGTTTTTTAAGAATTTTTGTCACTTTTCTCTAAACTTACTTGCTAAATCTGATAAAAGTGTTCAACCTATGAAACCCTGGTGCGAAAATCTTCAATCTAAAAATCAAGTGTTGTCGAAAGCAGAAGGTATTCCGATGCTTTATTAGAGAAAAGTTTATGGATATAGGAAAATAAATTTTTTGAGTTTTTGATTGGTTTTTGGAATCTTTTTTTTTCGAAAACTACCCAGCCAAATCTGAAATGTCATTAAAATGAAAGAGCGAGTAGTAGTTTTTTTTCTAAGTTTTTTCTTGTTCTGAACATTTTCAAGCTATTTTTTTGTGAAACTTCGGGAGGCTTTTCGTAAAAATGCGAAAAGTTATCAAACTTTCAAAAAGTTTTTAAGTTTGTCTTATAAACGGTTTTGCTGAAAAATCCAGTAACCATATGATGTTAGCACATAGACTCTATAAAGAAGATAAACGAAAGTATTAGTGCAACCGGTTACTATATCTGTTTTACGGCCAAAAACTTTATTCTAGATGGTTAAAATTGGCAAAATCTTCAAGATAGTTTCAAAAAATATTCTATTTTTGGGTGTTTTCACGCATTTTGAATAAATGTACTATTTGGATAGCAACTATTTCTAGTCATAGTAGGTTAATTGTGGGAAAAATTGAATCTGGAACATAAGTGACAAATATCGTCTTTTTGTTCATGCAATTTTTTTTTTTGCAAAATGTTTTTTCGAGCAGGGAAATGTTTAAGCGACTCAAAAGAAAAACAAAAACTTGTTTCCGCAATCTTCGAATTTTTATGGCAGTATACAATATTCGTATAAAACTATATTCTTATATGGAATTGTATGACAAATTTTTTTGTGAATCTTGAGCGAATGTGTTGCTTTGCGTTTGTGTTGCAACTGATACCTCCTCGCTGTTCAATATTTACCCTTGCGATGAACATGGGTGTCGCTATCGGGTACTAGATTTTTTCCCATAAACATTTTAATTCACAGAATGGTCTATTTTAGTAGGACTGGTAAGTTTCACGCCGGCTGACTTGCAAACTGATGACATACTCAGTTTCTTGAAACTATCAAGCAAACTACTATCATTTAGGTGGTAATTAGTTGATGTTCGTTTCTTGAAAAAAAAACAGGTTCTCGTGATTTTTGTCCTAGTTTTCCTCGGCTTATTTTGCCTTTTTTCTAAATTCAGTTTGTTATATCGGGTACAATTTATTGGGCTTTTGTTTTCTCAACTGAATCAAATTATGTTGCTTAGTTTCGAGAGTTAGTTATATACTCATGCGTTTGTATTTTTTAAAAAAAAATTAAAACTTTATAGCTCAAAACTTTTTGTGGCATTATTTTTTCTCGTCTTTACTCTGTTCTTTTTACAAATCTTTTCTTTAATATTGAACTCTAACAATCTTTCAAGTTTCTGCCCAATTGATCTAGGGGTAAGGCCGTCGCTTTTTCTTTTTAGGTTTGGAAATCACGTCTCCTTAATTTTTTGTGCCGAACCTTGTTTTTTTTGTATGCAGTTGAGAAAGAATTTTGGTCAAAATTGCATTGTCAGACTGGTTTGTCTGCTCAAATTTTGTCAGCTAAGTTGCCTCATCACGGACTTTGCTTTTACTGTGAGCAACTCTCATTGCAAGTGCAAGTGTTGTTCATTCTAGCATCAGGGGGAACCTGAAAGATTTACTTTTTTTTCATGAAATCTTTTTTTTCGGCTCTACTGGTGTCTGCTCAAAGATTGTCGGCTTAGTTGATGCATTACCGATTTTTCTTGTGCTGTAAGTAGCTTTCACTGCAAGTGATGTTCATTGTACTTTTAGGTGGGATTTAAAAGATTTTTTTATATAATAATTATTTTCGGATCAACTTGTGTCCGCTCAAAGGTTGTCGACTTATGTTTTTTTTTGTATTTGTCTCTGTGTTGTATCTGTCTCTGTGTTTTTGTATTTGGTTCCTTTTTGCCTCTGTGTTTTAATGTGTGTTTGAGAAGCGGTTGTTGTTCGAATTTTTGAAATTTTTTCCTCATGAAACTTCCGAGACATTTGGTATTTGTAAGTTTTTCAGAAAAGTATGTTTATTAAGTTGATCTCGTGCATGTTTTTTATGGAATCGCAAGAGGTGTGCAAAAGAGGTGTGCAAACATGATTTTACGGTTTCTCACTTAAGAGACTTGAGGCAGAGTTTTAACTAGATGCCGCAATGCAATGAGCCTAGACGTATTACGTACTTGCCAGAACCGAGACACAATATACCGGTGCAGTGTGGTGACACGCACATAATGCGACCCAGCGCCGGGCTACTGACGCCAAAAGCGTTCAAAAATTATTGGATTTTATTTCAGCTGTTTTAATAGAAAAAAAAGAACTATACATTCAGAGGTAAAGAAAAAAACTTTATTCAACAATGGAAGTTAGCGGAAGTTTGCTCACTGCCCGGGGAGATTGTATTCCCAGTCCATCGTTTTTTGTACCATTGTGCCCGGTTAAAACTTAAAAATCTTGTTCTTTTCAAGCTAAGAGAGGAATTTTGCAAAAAACTTAGCCTGATTTGCTTTTTTTCCGGCTTTTTGTTCTAATAGGAACTCTGCTAATAGTAAAAAATAATTAATGGCCTGTCAGACAATTATTAAATGGAGTTTTTCAGTTTAATAAATACATTAGTGGTGGCTCATCAAGGAAAAATAAATTTTGCGTCACAAATTTTTTGGAGAATAAAATAAAACAGCCGAAAACAAAAAAGTAATTAAAACACTGACTCTTCAGTATCATTCAAAAAATATTAATTTTTGCTTGACACGATCAAGTGTTTAAATGGCTCTTAATTCTTGCTCGATGAAAATTGCCGATAGCAAAAGTATTCCTTAAATGGATAAGCTGTAACTTATTCTACTGCCATTTTAAATTGTTTCGACTAAATTTCTTTTGTTTCGAAAATTGTTCTTCAGTCGAAAATTAACAAAATTTTTTTAAATTAAGCTTCTGAAACTTTTCAGCATGCATTTAGTCAGTTTTTCTGCAAGTTACAGAAATTTTAACAAACTCCGACTTGGTTGTTAGGGATACTACAACATTGCCCAAGTACAACAG